TTGCAGATACTCCTCCCTCCCCCCGCAACTCCTCAACTCCTCACCTCCTTCACAGATATATAGCATCCACATCCACATCCTCGAGAATTCCCCATCTCGAGCTTAAGCCCACCGATTCGGATTGTCAGATAGAGAGGAGGACTCCTTTTGTAGCGCTTTTTGTCTTCTGCTCCTCCGACGGTCGTTCATTAATGGCTGGTTGGTCGGTTAGCTGGTTGGCTGCATCTTGGCCCACTTGCCGCTTGCCGCTTGCCACATCTCGGATTGCAGCCGTGTAATCGTCAAGGCGGCAGGCGCTCGCTCTTCCGTTGCTCCTCCCCCAGATCGAAGAATATGTATTTCCTGTGTCTTTATTATTTTCGAAATCTGTCCGTTTAATTTTGCCAATTAGCAAATAATGCACATTTTCAAGTCAACCCTTTTTTAATTGATATTGTGTTTAAGGGTTACTGAAAAAATAATAAGTCAAATTAAATGAAAAAGTTCAAGAGGGAATTTATAAATATATTTCATTTTTTTTTTTCAATACTTTTAAACATTGTTTAGGTACATTTATTATATTTATATATTTATATTCTTCAATACCTAATATTTCAAATTCGATTATACTTTATAATTTTATAAATAAATAAAATTTATAAATTTTATAAATTATTATAAAAAATTATCATTTAAATTTCTTTATAAGAAATCCAAGTTCTTTAATTTACCATTAAATTCGAAAACAAGTGTCTGCGGTATCTCAACCCCCACACTCTCCACTCCCCTTCAATAAGAATCCCCAATTTCGGTACTTATTACAAGTTTTGCACTGCTCTCGAGCAAACCTCCTTGAGAAAATCAATCAAAAACATTGTATAAAGAGGCGAAATCCAGCAGACACGCAGGCATAACCGCAGGCTCGGGGGAACTCCCGAGATAAGTCCTCCGGGAAAGGGGAATTAAGGGGGCAATAAAATCCCCACCGAGGGCCAAAAGCGAATCAATACTCGAACTATGTTCCTCCGGGCGGTGGCACAAGGCGGTGGCAAGAAGCAGTGGCAAGAGGCGGTGGCAAAAAGGCGGTGGCAAAAAGGCCCGACCGCAACTATACGCCCCAAAAAAGCCCGGCGAGTCAAAGCGATTACACCGGAGCGGAGCACACAAACACCTTTTCATTTGTATCTATTAGATTAAAATTCATGTCGGCGTTTGTAGACGCGTACTCGTACGCGTACGCACTCCGCACTCCGCACCGCACCGCAACACGCGCTTCCAGATGCGAAGATACCAAGATACAAAGATACATAGATACGGAAAATGGTGAGCTTGGCTCGAGAAATCATCATTGGCTTGGTCTCTGCACTCGAGAGCTCGCTCGACAACGAGAGCTATCTGCAAACAAGAAGAGATACATTTGTGTGTGGTGGGGAGGGGTGACGATTCCACTCTTCACGTATCCCCAAGATACGAAGCGCAACGAAGCGAGGCGAAGCCATCAATACAAGCCAAGTACGACTACAGATACATTGCGACTACAAGCCCGAAACACACAGACACACACACACACACATAACGATACTTCGATACTCGTACTCTGTGGCAACAAGCGAAGTACAAAGGATACAAATATATCTCGTGTTCGAAATATAAAAATCGTTAAACAAAGACTGGCGTTGTTTCTGGATTTGGATCGACTGGGACTAACGACTATGGAGGATTGGGTTTGGGTTGGGATGGAGTGGAGTGGAGAGGAGTGGGGGGTTTTGGGGGGTAAGGGGGGTAAGGGGGGGTTTTCGGGGAGTCGGCTTTGGCATCATCTTGCCCTCCCGCTTTTGCTTGCGGCCATTTGGGGCAACTTTTCCGTGCACTCTGTCTCACTCTTTTCTGAGCACTCTTAGCGCCAGTAAGCCCGCCTCGAAAAAGGTTGCTACTTGCTGGCCAACCCCCCCCCCTGCACCCCCTCTCCCTCCTTGTTTTTCGCCCCTTTTCCCCCTTTTGTTTTCCCCGCCCATGGGGCAAGTTGCTGCTGCGGTTGCCAGTGTTGTTGCAGTTGTTGCCATTGTTGTTGCTGCTGCTATTGTTGTTGTTGCTGCTGCCGTGTTTCTGCACAGAAGGCGACGGCAATTTTGTAGGCGCGCCAATGGGTTAACGTGATCTGAATTTGTTGCTCGCAAGCCAATTAATGTCGCTCTGAATTAAAAGGAAGATACTGATGGCAGATACAGATACGGATCGTAAAAGTCACTTAAAGTGGGTTAACCAAGAAACACCATTTTCTTTTCCCATTAACAATAATGCAAGTGCATGAAATTGGGATTAGTATATGCCAACCGAAAAAAGGTGATCAACATTTTGCTTTATATTCAAAAGGAATGTATGACTTTAAGTCTTTCTTGTTTGCGTAATATTTTTATAATTTTTCATGATAAGTATTTACCTTAATATCGAAAGATTTTTTTGAAAAAAAAATATTTATAATTGGGTATTAAAATATTTAACTTTTTTAAAAAATATATATGATTCGTTTTGAAAATACGTTGATATATTTATTGTCATATACTTACATAAATTTATCTAAAAAATATACTAATGAATCTAAAATCATAGGTAAAATAAAACTAAAGTAGAAATATTTAATCAAAGGTTTAAAAATTCTGGAAAAATATTAAAGTACTTTTTGATAAAAAGGCCCATTTCTTGATCAGAAAAAAAAGTTAACCTCATGTAAGTGACCTTAATACGGTGGTTGGTTAAACTTTTATTTTGGCACTGTCAATCCATTAATTTTCATGAAAACTTGAGCAGCATCGTCCCCCGGGATGGAGGAAACCCCTAATAAATGACTATCGAAAAACTAATCGTTAATGTCGGAGAAATGGAAAAGGATAAAGCTTCGGTGACTTCATTTAAATGTTGTAAGAATTTGTTTACTGCGTGTGCGACACCGAGCTCAGGTGGGCGGCGGGAAAACTTGGTGGGAAAGGAGGAGGAGGAGGGGGTGTGGCCGTGGGGAAGGGATAACCACCGATTGCCAGGAACGACAAAGTAGCTTTCGAATGTACTCAGTACACACGTAGATACATATGTAGCACATAAACGCCGTCCCGCTCTAACAGCTAGCCGTCACTCCTCTCGAGTGGCGTTTCAATTAATTAGAAAAAGTTAAAGAAACGCCACGGCAAGAGGCAAAAACAGAAAACAGAGAAAAACAGAGAAAAACAAAAAACAAATACCTACATAATAAAATGTAAGAGCGTATGTTGTAGCAGCAACGAAAAGCAGCGACGGCAGCTGCGGTGGCGTTTTTGTTGGAGCAGCGCGAAAGATGCCACCAATCCAGCCAAAGCGGTCAAGAGGGGGTGGGGTTCTCAGGGGTGGGTTGGGGGGCCTCGCAGGGGGTTAGGGGGTTGGGGCACGTCGACAGCGACTGCGGCAGAGGCGGATGATAAAACATTACCCATCGCGTTGGCCCAACCTCTTCACGAGTCTCGTTCATGTTCATCAGGCTTTTCTTTTTTCATCAGCGGGCGAAAAGCGAGAAGCGAGCGTAAACACTTTGCTTTCATACGTCGCGACGTTCGTGTTGTTGTGTTGTTTATGGCAACAACTACACGTAGCAACACCCACGGCAGCAGAAGCAGCAACAGCAACAACAGCAACAGCAACAACAGCAACAGCAGCAGCAGTAGAAGCAACTGCGGCAGCAGCAGCAGCAGCAACAGCAGCAAGTAGCAGCGTTGCAACAGCAGCAACAACAACCGCCTACAAATACATACATCGGCATTTACAACAACACGCAATAACAGCCATTTTTCTAGTTGTTAAGTTAATTTTTTCATGTTCTGCCGCTCGGTGTTGCTGCTGCTGCTGCTGCCGTTGCCGCCGCCTGCCAGCCATCTCGCTCGCACACCAGCAACACGACAGCCAACGCGAGCAACTTGCGATATTGCTGCTGTCGCTGGCGTTGGATGCGATTCGTGGCCAGCGGCGAAGCGGCTATTGCCGTCCCGCTCGCGCCGGTCGCAGCTGGCAGATACTTTATTTATGGTCACACAGGCGGTAGATACTTTTTTGCCGACAACCCCATCCCCGCGCTTGGCGAGCCAACCGGTTCGCTCGGTCTCTCTCGCACTTGCAGTGGCATAAGAGAGTTCGGAGGGTTTGGAGGGGGAGCCATAGCCACCGATTCCGATTCCGTTTCCAATCCCCCAGTTGCCACACTCACAGCCATACACACACACACAAACACACTGACAGAGCGCCAGCCCACTTATAATGATAATCATTATTGCCGTTGTTGCCGTTCGTTCGTCGTGTTTTCTCGTCGTGCCGCCTCGTTTGCTACTTTTTCCCAACTCACAGATACTTTTCGTTTCACACACACCCGAACACACGCTCACGTCAGCTCACACAGATACTTGGCTGCGCTCAAAAAGAGCAAAGAGAGTGCACCAACACAACGGAGGGCAGAGTAAAAATAAGGGGAGAAAACCCGTTTGTGCGCTCTCTCGCTCACAAACACTTGGAGAGCACGGGGAATGTGTGCCTGTGGTGGTGGCTTACCCGCTGTTGTTGTTGTTGCTGGACTGCGCTGTTTTTCGATTGTCGGTTGTCGTGTAATTCCCATTTGTCGTACACTTTGTAGTTGCTCAAGAAACTCATGTTAGTCTACTTTTGACTGTTACGCAGATTGTTCGTATCGTTCGTGTCGTTCGCAGTTGCAGTGTGAAAATCGAGAAAACACAGTGGTGCCGCTGCTGCTCTCTGCCCGCCGCTCGCCGTCGTTCTGTGCGAGCTGGATTCAGAATCGGATTCAGATACTTGCCCTGCCGCCTGGCGACCACCAGTTACCCATCCATCCATCCATTCGTGCTTCGTTTTCGGACCTCGCATCCTCCGGATAGCTCCTTCGATTGATTCGTGCCCCCCGTCGGATTTACCGGATTTTACCGGACTTTCGGTGCCTGGCAATCGTCGAACTGTTGGCCGGCTGACTCGAGTTGGCCAGCTCCTTTATTAGCCGTCGGCAAGTGCGAAATTTTGTGACTAAGAAAAAGCGGAGCAAAAAACCTCGCCCAAAGAAAATAAACAATACCGTTACTTCCAAGCCGGATTCATAGCAAAATCATCACTCTAAGAAATCGCAAAAAAAAAAAAGAAACTAGTTCGGATCAATCACAGATCAACTCTCTCGGATAATATATATCTATATATATATATGTACATGTATATCGGTTCAGTGCGCGAGTCCATCGGTGCATCGTAACTTTAAGATTTGCTTTATAGTTTTAGTTAAAAGCAAAAATTAATATTAAATGACAGTGCACAGTAATGAAACCGGTATCTGTTTAGTAATGGTGCGTATTTCAATTTGTTTTCAATTTTATTACTTGTAAGACCCAAACTACATGGCTTGGATGGCCAGTTAATAGCCGACTTTAGCCGGAATGACATTCAAATTGTGGCAATTTGATTGCACAAAACCCGTTTGCCGATCCCAAAGTCAGAAGCAGAATCAGAGCAACTTTTATTTATCCCCGTTGAAAACATATGTACTGTACAATGTACTATGCAAACAGTGGGGATTTGAATGCCTTAACATTTTGATTTGGCAAACGGAAGACATGGATTTAAAAATAAAACAGATAAAAATGTTCGGATCGATGTCTGCCAAATCCGTTGAAAATGTCAGGACCACAAGTGTGCTACATTAGCCGAACAACACACGAAAAACTGGCTGCCAATTCGGAAAATCTCTTCTATCTGTGTCTTTGGTTGTTAACCAAACTGGCAAGGTCACCACGTACTTTCCACAGCAGTCGCAAGTCACAGTGTGTGCAAATCCAATAGGATCCCGGCCATAATTCCTTTGCTCGGTCATAATATAATCCCTGTTGGCTTGCCGGTAATCGGATCCACTGGCAAATATGCCCAGTTAATATTGCCTCCTTGCCCAAATGTAATCACTTAAACTCGACACTTGAGCACATATTTATACACACACTCGATCGTTGAGTGCAAGAAGCCAGAAGCAACTTGTGGCGCAACCCGAAAGCTGAAACGGAATATCACAAATATTAAATGCTGTTTAAACAAACATGCCCAAGTGACATGAATGGTTGTCACTCTATACCCGCCAGTAATGGCCGCCCGAAAATAATATATAATATTAGTACCGCCGTATGACCACTTATTGCTTATTGGATCCACAGATCCATGGACTGCAGTTAGATAGTTGATAATCATCGGCGGCTGATTCAAAGAGCCGGCTGATAAGGAAGCGTATAGTCAATCCATCCATCCAGCCAGCAAACACCGGGAATTAATTTTTAATCGCATAGGGCCACTTGAGTTGTCACTTGATGAAAGCACGAGACGCAACACCAAAAGCAAAGGCAACACCAACATTGGGAACCCAAGAGCAACACACATTGCGGCGGTATCAATCACGACCGATATAACAACAACAACAACTGCAACAACAACAACAACATGGAGCTCTGTGTGACCGGCGGCCTGCGATAAAAATCGTATCTTACGCCTCGGATCATTTGTAAAATGTTAAACGGGAAGAGCAGAGCGGCCCCAAGAAGTGGAGAAGTTAACCGAAGAGGCAGCGATAAACAAACCTGAAACTTGTTTGTTGTCCCCGCGGTGTCGCATGTGCGAATGTGTACGTTGCTCTTGTCCACCGTTGTTGTTGTTGCTCCTCTTGCACTGTGTTGCAGTTGACTAAAAGTGTTGACAAAAGTGCGCGATAGGCTTATGTGCACTCCACACACACACACACATACAGATCACATAAACTATATAGAGTCCCGATCCAGGCAGTCATTGGACAACTTACAATCAAATTGCTCTTAGGCCGTTGCCGTTGTTGCTGGTTGTCGATGTTGCTGGTTGTCGATGCAGTTGTTGCTTTTGTTGCTGTTGTTGTTGCTGTTGCCGCTGTCGTCGTTGGCAGCAATCGGCTGTGTAATTTAAATCAATGTTGTCAATCGAAAACATGATTTGTTGGTAATGGCGGCCCCACTTTGAAGATCGGCAAAGGGAAGGGGTTTTGGGGTTTGGTGTTTGGTGGTAAAGGGGTTCGTTGTTCGTTGTTGGTTGTTCAGGGGACAGAGAGAGTTTCGTTTTATTGACTGAGACAGCAGCGGTTGAGGATCCCTGCTCCGCTGAGGTTCTGAAGGGCCCGTGGACAGCCCACAACCCACTGAGACTGGAAAAACTGATGAGGAGACGCGCTTATCGCGCTGATAAGGGGCAACGTTTTTAATTAAGTTTTAGTGCCAGCTGGTAGCACGGTACAGTAGACCTTCTATGGGGCCTTTTATCCATCGCGAGAAGCAAGAAGCAGCGCTTTAATAGGCCGCCATAAACTTGAGAAATGGATTGGAGAAGATCAAAGTCGTATAATCAAATTAATGTAGGAAATGTCTTCGGAGGGGAACTTTTTGGGAAAACACCGACTTCAAATTAGTTTCGTTTCGGGAATATTGCTTATTAAGTTTTTTATTGGGTCTTATTTGATTTATTGGGTTTTTCTTAATTTTTTATCAGTAAAATCTTTATATTCTTTGTACTACTAAACATTTAATTGATTATTTATACTTTTTCATAACAATCGGCATAAGAATAATGAACTTAAATTCTTTAGTTGTTGCAATTTGTACCGTACTATTTTTTATTTATTTTTTTTTTTTAGTATTTGTAGCAACAGTCTACTTTAAACAAAAAAACATTTACTAATTATTTTAATAAGAACAAAAAAACTTTTTTTTCTGTAGATAAAAAATTTAAATTCTTTAAACAAGAATTTAGGAATTTTGTACAATGTCACAATATTAATTTATTTTTTTGGCATCCTCTTTAAATTACAGAATGCCGTTTCAACTCACCTTGCCACCTCGTCGCCCAACACGCCTCCAACCAACGCCCCGCAGAGTCCGCCGTCGACGCTGCCGACGCTCGCCTGTCCCGCCGCCCAGCCGCTGAGCGCTCCCGGAATCGCCGGGCCAGGTCACAGTGGCATGGTGACCTCGACGGTGCCCCCCGGGCGCCCGCTCCACCTCGCCGTGCGGCCCCTCCGCCGGCCTGCCCGCCCTCTCCCTGGTCGGTGGCCCCCCGCCCGGCGGTCCGCATTCCTCTGCGCCCGGAGGAGCACCGGCGCCCGGAGCGGGCAACCCGCCGAACCGCTGCTGTGATACCGGCCGCACCATCTACACGGATCCGGTGAGCGGCCAGACGATCTGCTCCTGCCAGTACGACATGCTCAACTACCAGCGACTAGCCGCCGCCGGAGGAGTCCCGCTCGGCGTCTATCCGGAGGGCATGTCCGCCTACCTCTCCGGCATCGCCGCCGACCAGCCGCCCTTCTACGCCAATCCGGTAAGTGAAATCAGTCATGAAAAATATACAAAGTTCGGGAAAGATTGGGTTTACACTGGGGAAAAAGAAAGAGGGTTTTTGAGTCGCAGTTGAAAGTGTTGAGCAACAATCATTTAACACTATGATTATTAAAATTATACAGTATTCAAAACTGAAATAATATAAGAACTGTTCAGAGTTTCAAGATAGATTTAAAATCATCTTAGAAATATTATTGCTGGATTGTTTAATTAGGTTCATTTATTCATTCAGACAGTTCACTTATTCACTCCGTCAGTTCATTTGTTCATCAGTTAATTCTGAGAAGAACGACATTAACAAAGAACATCGGAAATTAATTATCAAAATTTAAGAATAATTGGATTAAATAGTGTTGTAAAAACTAATCTTGTATAGTGTCTGCTGGTTAGACTTTTAATCCTTTTTGTTTTTCACCTCTCGAAATGGCTTAAGCTTTTGAAACAACTTTGTTTTCGGTGCATAATAAGCCTGTTCATAAGTCATATGCCCCGAACAATGGCGCAATAAATTTGTGAATTTGTCGAGTCGCGAGGAGCGGGAGACCACCATCGAAGTTGAAGTTGAAGTTAAAGTCGCGACGTCATTTGATCGTGTTCCGTGCTCCTATGCCTCCTATGTCTATGCTTCCGAACTTGTGCGCTGGCTGGTCTACAGCGGAGCCTCGCTTGGAGCGATTTGTCAGGCCGTGGGGCCACAGGTCCCCAGGTCTTCGGATCCAAAGTACTTAGGGCCTAAGCCTACGTTTGACCTTTCGGTTCCCCCCGGTGATATTTCAGCCACATTTGTAAAGGCGAGAGACCGCAGAGTTGCGAAATATGGCTGGCTTAACTCGATCTGCAAGTCGGTCGGGGGGATCCGATCCCGTTCCCACTTCCCATTCCCGTTCCCTTACCCGTTCCCAATCCCAATTCCATTCCCGATCCCGAACCACTGCACCTCCATTCGAATTTATGGACAATGGGCTGTGTGGCACGTCTTGGTTGGTCACCACATGTCCGGCGCTTCGCCGTCGGCCCTTTGTTCGCCGCACTGCTTCTAATAGCATCATGTAATTTGCCTTTGTTTGCCAACAATTCTATTTGGACACAATATTCTCTTGGACCACATGCGGCGTGCGTCCCAGTCCTTGGGACACCCAGTGGTTTTGGTTTTGGGTTTTCTGGTCGAGAATCTGGCATGTGTTCGATTCTGGTGAAAATTTAGGTGGAATCGGAGAAACTATGGTACATTTACCAGTCAATCGAACTGCAGACAATGTATGCATTTGACCCCCGGTTACTTGTTTAGACTGTCTCATAAAATGTTTTTTGGAAATTTAGCCTGAGATGTTATTCAATGTGTATCCTATTTTTAATTGTCTGGAAAATTTGTAAAAAAGGAATGTAATTGAATAGCAAAACAATTACAGCTAGGGGTTATTCATTAGTTGGTATTAGGTACATTCCTTACTCGTTGAAGTTGTAATTGAATTGGTCTTAAAAATTTGTATACAAAGGGAAGAATTATAGTTGTTTAAATTCTATTATTTAATCATTCCAACGAAAAAGAATCTAAAATAAAATTTAATATGCAAATTCTACTTCCCTTTTTAATAGACTTCCGTAGATTTCATTTTTAAAGTTTAAAGATAAGGCACAGCTTCCTCTAATCAAATTTCAACTTCCCTTAACTTCAATCAAAGCAATAACAAAAAAGTCATTTAAACTAACACAGGTATTTACTTCGAATTAAATGTTCAAATTTGTCACCGAATCGGTGGGCCTTTCGGCGCTCTTTCCTTTGTGGAGGCCTCCACTTCTGGGCTCCCAAACAGCGCCCATTAAATATGATCCGATAAAATGTCGCATTCAAAAGTGAACACATAAATTTATTTGCTTACAAGCCAAAAAGAAAAAAGTCTTAAAAGCTGACGGCACTCGGGGCAAAAAGACTGAAAGACAGAAAATCCGAAACAGAAGCAGAACTCGAAACGAGCTGACGACTGTGAAATTGAAACTGAGAGTTTAATGAATGGCCCGTTGAGTATTTAGAATGCTCCCAGTAGTGACTGGAGATGAAGTAAAAATAAAATTGCCTTTGTCTGCATAGTTGCTGTGACTAAACAATCGACAGCAATATTCGCTGATCTCTGTGAACGCTAATGTGTGATTAAGTATTATCTTCGACTCAATTCAAGTGATTTAAGTGCAACCGCTGTCCACCAATGGTGTTTGGCCTAATCGAATACACATTTACCCGATAAAAAATATTCAAAACGGAATTTGCATTTGAACTGGTTTACTTCGAGGGAATAATGTGATAAAATTAGAGAACCGGTTTCCTCCCAGTAGCACTGGCACTTTGTATAAATTTAGCCATTGTGTCCCCAAACAAATTATGAAAGTCGCAACGAAAAGCATCGATCAGATACCCAAAATATATACACTCTATATATTCCATCTCCTTTGCTGACACAGCAATTTAGTAGGATGTGATTGAAGTGTCATGTGGCCAAAGGCACTTGAGATCACCGAGGATTTACACGGTCGTATTGATGGCACCGTTTAAAAGACAAAACAGGTCGGGTCGTGGCATCTGCTAAATAAATCATCCGGGGTCGTAATTAGTCACTTCAGCCGCCGGCGCTAAACTGGAGCGATTTCTCTTCGCCGAACGTACGTCCGGATAGAAAGATATATATATGTAGATACAGTATTGTTGTAAAAGTGTCTGCTCAATGCGGTGGATTCATTACTTTGACACGAGCTGTCAAGCGGCTGTCAGTTTGGCGCAGCGCGGGAATATATATCCCAAAACGTTTCCCAAAAAAAACTCCAACTCCTGATTCCAAATGTGACTCCGGGCTTTGAAGGTGGATGATGATGACTTCAGTGGATGAGATGGTGCACCGCTGTCATTTCAAATGGCAAGATACATTTGAAGAGCGCCGCCCCGCTAACAAATAGGCCGAGCCCAGGCCGCGCCCGGTGTTTTTCTCTCTCCCTGCCGTCGCATTTCCCGCTTTCCCGGCTTTCCATCTTGCCGCTGTTGTTGCTGTTTTGGGGGCGTCGACGGCCGCTGCCGCCTCGTACCTTATTAATAAATTTGTCAACACGCAAGTGACAGCCTGTCAGCCCGTCGTCCGCTCTTCGCCCTCCGCTTCCCGCTCCTCTTCCTCCTCCTGCCATTCCATTCCGCTCCGCTCCGCTCATCCAGTCATCCGTTTATCTGTTCCTGTTTCTGTTTATCCTTAAGTCCGAAATTGTCGGCGACCCCGGCGCATATGTTGCATCCTGCACTCGCTGCTCACTGACACTCGGAGAAATTAATTTCGTTAATTGCCGAACGTCGGCGTTCATTTAAAATGGGTCTTTTGTTGGGCTCTTATATCGGGGCATTTTTTTTTGGGAATTCTTTCTAATTGATGTGATGTATTTATAAAAAAAAATGAGAAGAATATTTAACAGATCCCAAAAATAGTCGTATGAAAACATTTAATTATCACACATAAATTTGAAATTGTTTTATGTGGGTAATAAAAAAAAGAAATGTACAAGGATTTCTAAAAACCATTTAACTAATCATCATACTAAAAGAATTTATTCTAAATATTTATGAGAATTTATTAGTATTCAGTCTAAAATATCTTACTTTTAGTTCTGTTACCAAAGAACAAATTGACACCATACTTTTTTTTTGGCAAATTTCAATTCACTTTCAAAGTCTAATGAGGGTCCTTGCCCAGTTAAACTTTAACTTTCCCTATGCGATAAAGGGGCTTTTCCCCGAGCCTGGATCCTTGGAACCGAATGCGAACGCACAAGCCTTTGGCCGAAAACAGAAAACAGGGCGGATGGGTGTTTTTAGACACTTGACGCCGGGCAAGTAGCCAAAATGGTATATTGACTTTTCCCCAGTTTAAGTGCCGCAACATCATCAACGACAACAATGCAAGCATGAAATTTCACACTCGACAACATAGTCGCACTGGGTTTTCCAAACCGACAAAAGGCTGCCTGCCTGCCTGCCTGTGTTCCTCTGGCGAATGTATGCGGTATATACGCTTATATCCTGTGGGAGCTACAAAAACTTTTGGCCCCCCCAAGGCAAGTTTTCTACAAAATGTAGCAGAAAGCAACTACAAATCGGACCACTCTCCTTCTGCTTCTTCTTTTCGGTTCCCCACACCAGATATCACACTCTGGCATTATATAGAGAAAACAACCCCGAGATGCGGACATTCGCCCAGCCTCCCGACTGCCAAACTCCCGATCCTTAAAACATCCTGCCAGCTCTGCTGCTCCTTGGAACCTTGGCTACAACATGCACTGATTTGTCAACTTTTGAAAATGTCGAACTGTTGTCGTGTTGCTTTGGGGGTTGCTTTTCTAATGGCAAGGTGACGTTGGATGGGGGAAAGTGGGTGGTTGGGTGGGGTATACTTTTTAGTAGGGGGGAAAAATGGGAGGTTGTGTGCCAAAGTACTAAATACATTTACTGCTCGCACCAATCTCATTGTTGTTGCCGTAAGTGTTGTGGAAAGTTTTTGTGTTGCTGCCGTTGTTGTTTGGCTTTTTGGCAAAGTTGAAAATGTTCGTTAACAGTAAATTTTGCACTTTTATATGGGTGGCAAAGGAAAAGGAAGCACTTCGCCTTGGTGTTTGTACTTATGTATGTGTGTGTGTGTGAGTGTGTGTGTGAATGGCCGCCCTGCCTACAGCAAACAAATTAGCAGTCATGGCAACGCATACGGACAACAACGTACAAACAAACAGGCAACACGACCAGCAACAAAAGCAACACCAAAACCAACAACAACAGCAACCTCAGTGGTACAACTTTATAAGCGAGTTGTGAAAAAAAGTGTCATCGAGCTCCAGTTTTAAAAGGGGAAGAAACCAGGGGTACTGAGAAAAAACTCTACCTAAAAATAATATCTCAACAAAAGGTTAAGGATTCCAAGTTAAGGTTTCCATATTTTTAAATACATTTCAAACTTAAGAAGATACATTATTTAAAGGCACACAATTTGATTAATTACTCTTCAGTTAACTTTAATAGAAAGCAAGAAGAATGGTAAATGGAGAATATTAATCAACTTTTAAAATCCATTTGGTATCAAAGACAATTCAAGTCATTTTAAAGATAATTTAAAAAGATTTTGTTTGTTTTTTTGTCAGTTTGTGTTTTTCCAATAATTTATACTTAATACTTTAAATATAAATCTTTTATTTTGTTAACAAGAAAACACTTGTTTCCAGTGTAGATTAGCTCTCCTAGAACAGAACGCATTCTTTTGGCGCGACTCAAACTCCGCGCTGTCGTCAATTTCAATTACAATTTTCGATTCGTACTCCAATTTGGAATACGAATCCGATTCAGAATCCGATTCCGATTCCAATTCCGATTCCCATTCACTTCATTCTTGGCTGTACAGGCGGGAATGCGGCGGGCAAACGTGCGTTTATTTTTAAATCGAAGCAGCAATTAATTAACTCGACCCGTCATTACGCGCATCGCTCAAATCGTGGCGCATCAGGGCGACAGACCACAGGAGCCGGAGGAACCCCCCTTAACCCCCCGAAAAACCCCCTCAAACCCCCTTTCCCATCCCAACGAACCATATAATCCCGTGACGATGCCCATTGACGTTTGGCGTGAAGGGAACACAGTCGCAGAATTTCCTTGGTAATGAAGACAAAGTCCCATTTTAATTTGAATTATTTAATTTGCCCGCAGACAGGAGATGCAAGATCGGAGATTGGGGATATATAAGGGGGTTTATAAGGGGGATCTGGGGATCTGGGAACTGAGAACTGGGAGCCGGCAAACCGCACTTCCCGATGCGTGAAACGACGCACTCCGGTTGTTAAGTTCCAGCGGATCAGACATCCAACCACTTGAGGTCTTGCGGCCAACAGTGGTCACTCATTCATGTTCGCCACTCGCCAGATGGACGGGGAAAGTTTCTCGAGCTTGTTCCACTCATATTCGGACTTTTACTTACTGTTTCCTGACCAAATATTAGCTTTGTTAATGCTGCTGGATGATTAATGGGAAATGTTAACAGACTTAATACACGAAGTGATTACGGGTGTGTGCGGTTTCGTATTTCAATGCGAACTAATTATTCCTCTTAACATTGTTTTTCTTAGGATAAGAAACTAATCTTAAAGGGGAATAAAAAAATTTATGACTAAAATAAATTTAGTTGAGCCAACTTTTAATACGGTTACAGCTAAAAAAAAGTAGAAATAAATACCAGATTCGACTAGATGAAAGATTATAACTTTTCATTCAAAACTTAAGAGCTTTTAATATTTATGATTACCTAAGATATGTAAATGCTCCTTATTTTCTAAAATTCCCTCAAAAGTTTTGTTGAAAAAGAGACTTTGTTTTCATTACGAATTCAAATGGCTTTAAGTATTAAATTCCCAACAAAACTTGCTTTAAATATTCAAAGAAATCAATGGCAAAGGTTAAAATCTTTCCCAGTTCGCCGATGGTGGTCACATTGGGGCATTTACGGCACAACTACACAATATACAAACCGCAGGAACAAGCTCTAGTGCCAAAAGTAAAAACATTTTGCAAATGCATAAACATTTTTGCGGAAGAACAAGCTATCGGCAATCGGCAATATGCGATCTGGGCTACAACGCTTTTACAATTGCAGTTGTCGTCGCCAGTGGTAATGCAATATTTAACTCGAAAACGAGTTGCATCTGTGCGGTGGCTGTAAAATGTTGCTGCTGGCAGATGTTGCTGCTGCAACTGTTGCTGCTGTAGCTGTTGCTGCCACATCGCAGTATTGGTTATAATAAACGCAGACGCAAACATGTCGAATGTTGTTAATATTAACCACCGCCAACGAAAATCGCGGCACGGGTGCGTTTTTCCACCAGAGAATCGCCGAGTCGGCGAATCGAGCTGCATTAGCTACCAGCTACTGTTGCTGCTCCTCTGGAGATACTTTTGCTGGTAGCCGGCAACAATTTATTATATGCGCTTTTGCCCGCATCGACATGGCCTACACGCACTCCCAGCCAAACACGCACGACACAGATTCGGATTTGGATCCGCATTCGCATTCGGAACTCGGTTTGGGATTGGGTTTGGTATGGGGATTGGGATCGGGATCCCATCCCATCCTCTGCCTCTACCTCTGCATTGACTTTTGGCCAATTCCCAAATGATAGCCGGGCGTGATTATTGTAAAGGTTGTAAAACGTAAACCGGTTTCGGTTTCGGTCGAATGGAAGCTCGCTTCCATTGAGAAATAGGAGCAGCCTGGTGTAATTTAATATAGTCTGTCCCAAAACGCTGTCCATGTTCGGCTAACTGACTTCTGCAATCGCCAGGAGTCGGAGGCACAAACTCCACTCAGAAAATAATAAGGTTAACTTAGAGGAAAGTTGAACAGGATTTATAGTATAATTTTTCTGAAATAATAACTAACTTGCAATACCAAAATCACTCAGTTGAAATAAATTAGAGTTGATACATAGGTAAATAAAGTTTTTGTTGTCAAGCAACTTTTCAGTTATTTTCAATAAATTCAAAAAGTAATGATATTAAATTAACTTATAATTTATTTTGTTAGAAATCACTTCCGCATTCTATTTATCTTGATTAAAAACTTCTAAAAAATGGTTTGCAATTTGTTAAACTGATTTATGAGTTGTCAGATCAGTTCTCTGTTAGTAACTGGAAGAGGAAGGCCAGCATTTAATATTCGGGATGTGCATATTATATTTCTCCGAGTGTCGGACCTGTCAAAGGGCCTTGGCCCTGGACTTCTTCTTGGCCCGAACCTCGAGATCTGTGGCTGTTGCTTTTGCTGTTTATCAGTCTATCGTCGCTGTACTCGCACTCACCACATGCTGGGCAACCAGTCCCGAAACCTTTTTGGCCAAGTCAAGAGCCCAGGCCAGACTTCTACTCCTACTCCTTCCTCTCCATCTCCAATGGTCGATGGCCGATGGTCGGCGATAGCGATGTTGCAACAGCAACAGCAACATCGGCGCAACAACAGCAACAGTTTTCGTGTTGGCGACATAAAAATATTTCCGCTTTGCAGCAATCTGCGGCAGACGCTCGTCGCGACACCGAGACAATAGATTTTTTGGGACCTGCATCTGAGTCCGAGTCCGAGTCTGAGTATCCTGCACTCGTCGTCGTCCTGCGGTGCCATGTAGATCCGTATCGCACTCGTTCTCATTGATTTCGCATCTTGTTTTCGTACCCCCGCTGCGTTCGACTGGCGACTATTTGCAACATGCTTGTCATAACTGCTGCAGCAGCAGCAGCGGCGGCGGTTCTTCAGAATATGACTACTATATGCTGTATATAGTATTCAGATTTTAGTGCCACAGCAGCTGACTCTGTCACTCGGGCATTATCGCCGCAACAGCTGGCAAATGTCGCAGCGAGTTGAGTAGGAACAAGAAGTCGCAGATAATTGTCGTGTTAAACTTAATCAGCGCTCTACAATATATATTACACGCCTGTCCCACGCCCATCAGCCTATCAGTGCCAAAGTCTGTGTTCCTAAATGTTTCTCTGTGATTCCAATCAAGCGCCTAATGGCGAAATGTGCATGTACTAGCACTGCGATTAAGGAGCCGATCTCCGACAACTCGGAACGCAGTGCTCTGTGCTCCTAAAGTCACTGCCACAGTCACGACATGCCCACATGTTCGACCCAATGCTGCTCAGATTGTGGCGGGCTTATCACTACAACTGCTGCACAGTGAGGCTAAAATGTGATCTAATAAAGGTTTTACTTAAAGAACACCAAAAAGATATTATAGAGAAAAAAATAAGTGAAGAAACTATCACAAATATTGTTTAGTTTTCATCTTACAATCTGCAGAAAATGTTAATTTAGTGACTAAGATATGTCTTAAGCATTCTATTTTATTTGTTTTTTTTTCTAATTTTAAATATTAACAGTAAAAAAAATATATACTATACTTAAATAAGTACTTTTTTCTGCTAATCAGCTTAGGCTGATTAAAGTTTATTAAACAAAAATTCCAAGTTATCAACTTCCTCACTAAAAAAATTACTTTGTGACTAATAAACAAGCTGACAAATTATGAACACGTATTTAAAAGAATAGAACATTTCGTTGGAATTTTATTAAATGCTTTCAATGAATATACATTTTTTTGAACACAAATACTGATAACACATCGCCAGCCTCCCGTCAAGCCAAAAATAAACTCGAAGATGTCTTAATGATTTGTTTAACATGATTTTTAATAATTCTGGTTCAAGGTCTGGCCCACTGCTCCCGGGTTCAGCCTAAAATCGGAATTTCATCTAGAAATTAGTCTAAAATTAAAAGTAACACAACAACTAAACCGAACATCTCTTATCTGTGTTTTTTTTAGGCTGGAATCGATCTGAAGGAGAACCTGGTGGCCGGAGCATCGCCCTGGCCATATCCCTCGATGTATCATCCCTACGATGCGGCCTTCGCCGGCTATCCGTTCAACAGGTGAGCATTAGTCATAGTTTGGCAGAACAGAAAGTGCGAGTTGGAGTTGGAGTATCTGAATCCGACAGATACTTCCCCCGACAAAGCCAATTCCCAATTCAGTATCGATAAACCCCGATGGTGGTCCGCTGAAAGGCGTCGATCGGAACGTGAGTGGGATTGGGATTGGGAATGGAATTGATATTGGGATTGGTTTAGCTGCAGGTGCGTGCAGGTGCATTTAAATTTAAATGCCACTGGGACGGAAAAGTGCGTTCGAATAGTAAAAGTCTGGCATATTGGCACGCAGGCGCAACAGTGGCAGTTGCAATTGAAATTTCGAATTTCCCCGCGCCGGCAATTTATTCGCTTGTAATTGATCGTTTGCACGTCGGCGGGCTGCTTCCGCCGATCGCGGTGAAGCGCACCTCCAAAACCGATATCAAAAAACCAAAAAAAAAAAAAACAGAAGAAAAAATCAGAGAGAGAAAAAACCACAAACACAGCAGTAGTGGCCGTAGTAGTGACATAAATTTCCAAACACAATTGCCGGTTAAACAATCGACAACATCCCGTCACGTCACCTCACGTTTCGGACAGGTACAACCCGATGGGCCCATTGTTTCCCCTGTAATTGACACTCATAACAAAATTTGATAGTTGACTCATGCGGCTACTGTTCGGATTCGATGCATTTGTTAAGTTGTTGTCTATCGACCGACCGGCCATATTCGCCATAAATCAATTTTGAGTTATTTCGCCGCTGACGTGCTGGCAGTTGGCGAATTCGAATCGATTCAAAATTCAGGAGGTACCCTCAATGCCCCACCTATATATACGATTTTTTTTTTTCTGTTTACCCTCGGCAGCATTACGAAGTTGAAGTGTTGGGGGCGTTGGTGTCGTCACCAATCATTTACAGCGCTGATAGGAAAATTAAAAAAATGTATTCAGCTGTCAGGTGATCAAAGGCAGAGTGCCTGTCTGCGCAGGTGTTTCGCACTCGGCGACACTTTGCATTCAAACTGAAATTAATTAATGCAGCGGACGCCGAGTATAGCATCCAGTTGACATCGTTGTCATCCTCTCTCTGTTCATTTTGCATCGGATGGATCGGATCGGATGGGATGGAATGGGATGGGTTGGGATCGGTTCGGTTCGGATCGGATCGGAACGGGCAGCTGTCTGGGAACTACAAATGAGACAGCTACACATGTATGCGATGGCTCTGTCGCTCCCCCGTCGCTGTTTTGCATTCCATGCACTGAAAAAAGAAGTTCATGGTTATAAAACCCTTATTAAGTTATCAGCATTTAAAGGAAATAGTTTCTTAAATAAAATCTTCCGATACGAATATTTCCTTTTGAAAGCGGAAAAGATGTAAGATGATTATACCCCAAATAAATATTTAAAGAACTAGTTGGGAATTATAGAGATCTAAAAGAAGTCAAGAGGAAAAAAAACGTTCTGCAAGTCTTTTTTAAATAAAATTTAACTGATCTAAAAACTTAATTTTAGGCAAAGCCACTAAAAAGCAGTTAAAACGTTTTGTAAGAAACCATATAAAAGAAGTTTCACACTTAGTGTATGAAAGAACTTGATCCCTCAGTGTAGTAAAACACTCCAGCATATATGTACGCTCGGTCGCGATGTATATATACCAATATACTAAAAACGTTCATGTTAACTGCCCACAAAAAGCGATAAAGGACAGTTGTCGTCCGCGAGGCATGCGGCAACAGCAACGGCAACAGCAACAGCAACAACAACAAATGTTGAACCATCGACCATCGATGCCACAGTGGGATGGGGAGCAATGTGTCAGACCGCAAACTGCACGGGCATAAATGTTCGGGCCCATGCAAATGCGTTTATGATGAACAAATTTAACGCAGAACAAAGCCGCCCGCCCACCGTTCGTTCGGTTTAACAAATTGCAACAATTGTTTGGTCGGGTCGCATATTGAAATTTAAAGAACGCCAAAACGACCTGGCAACAGCTGGGTCTGCATTCCACTCCGGCCTTAATCACCTGCTGGCAATTCGGGGAATGGTTGTTGGGTCTCCTTATCGACTAAATGATGTCCCCACCAGACTTGCAACCCCATCTAATTCTGAGTTTTCTTTTACTAATTTCTTGCAGCTACGGCATGGATTTGAATGGAGCCCGGCGGAAAAACGCCACCCGCGAGACGACATCGACTTTGAAGGCCTGGCTGAATGAGCACAAGAAGAACCCGTATCCGACGAAGGGCGAGAAGATAATGCTGGCCATTATCACCAAGATGACGCTCACCCAGGTGTCCACGTGGTTCGCCAACGCGAGAAGAAGACTGAAAAAGGAGAACAAGATGACCTGGGAGCCCAGGAACCGCGTCGACGACGATGACGCCAATATCGACGATGACGACGACAAGAACACCGAGGAGAACGATCTGCTAGGTAAGAGGAGTACCTTTTCATCATTATATATATTATATTATATAAAAAGTTAAAAAAAAAAATAGTGTACAAAAAATAATTGAATTCCCAGTTCAAGTCAGAAATTTTACAAAAATATTTTAAAGGGCAACAATTTACAATTTACAATTTTTATAAATTAAAAAAAAGTTCAATTTAGTTTTAGAACTAGTTTTTTATGCAAACATCTAAATCGAAATAATCAAATTTAAAACGAACTATTTTTATTGCGTATACGTCTATTGCCCTTGTAAGTAGGCAACATATTTTTTAAAAGGGGCTTAGACAATCTTAAAGAGTGATTTTTGCTTGAATTTAACATTTTGAAAATTAAAGAAGAACCCACGTCTAATTTCCATGAATATTATTTGTTTCTATAATTATTGGGACCAGCTTAGTAAAACTGAAACAAAAACTAATTTTTTTAGGTTTCACATTATCGCAAAGAATACATACTTTCTATGTTTAATAATTAATTGTTTCATTTTGAAAATTAATTATAATTTGTTCCACCTTTTCTTTACTCCTTGCAGATGCCAAGGACTCCGGCGTGGGCTCCACGGACGACAAGGACCGCTCCGGCCGGCTGGCCGACATGATGGCCGATCGCCCCGGCGAGAGCAACAACAGCGAGTGGTCCGAGTCGCGGCCAGGATCGCCCAATGGCTCCCCAGACCTGTACGACCGCCCGGGCAGCATGCCGCCGGGTGCCCACCCCCTGTTCCATCCCGCCGCCCTGCACCACCACTTCCGGCCGCCGGCGGGTTCGCCGCCGGACATCGCCGCCTACCACCACCACCAGCAGCAGTTGCTGCAGCAGCACCAGCAGGCGCAGCAGAACTCGCTGCAGACGGCGGTTGGCGGCACGGCGAAGCCGAGGATCTGGTCCCTGGCCGACATGGCTTCGAAGGACAGCAAGGACTCCAGTTCGGGAGCAAAGGACAATCTCTCCGAACTGCCGCCTGCGCATCCCGGCTTCTATGGCCATCCTGGCCAGCAGCCATCGCCGGGGAAGATCCTCTCACCACTGGCGGCCAGGATACCCAACTATTCGCCCTACGTCCGTCCGGATTTGTACCGGGGATTCTATGGACCGGCGGCGGCGCACTTGAGTGCTCCCACGCAGGAGTTCCTCGAGCACCAGCGCACCTTTGGAGCGAGTTTGGCGGCGCACAACGGACCGCTCGGCATGAATCCGCTGCTGTGGAAGGCGGCCGTTTCGGGAGCGGCCAATGGACCGCACTTCGCACCGCTCAGCCTGACGACATCGGGTGGGGGATCCGGTGGAGGAGGACCACAGCAGGTGGCACCACCGCCCGTGGCCTCGCCATCCGCCTCCAGTTCGTCGTCGTCGATGGGCTGCGATGTGGTGCACATACCCACGACCAGTGGACAGTCGGCGGCACAGCACATGATGGGTCCAATTTCCAGCAACTCCACCGCCTCGTCGTCCAGTTCGCATTCGGGAAAGATATCGCCGGGCGTGAATGTGACCTCGCTGAGTGCAAAGCCATGACATCCATCGGCTTCACCGGATCCATCGGCGGCTCCAGTTGCCTCGCCCATCTCCGCCTTCCGCTCGCTGATCGCCTTCCGGGAGCAGCAGAAGCTAACGCTCCTCCGGCCGTAGTCACTTCCAGTTTCGATTCCGAATCAGAATCAGAATCCAGAATCAGAATCCGAATCCGATTTCGATTTCGAGGCCCGGGCTTGAAAGGTATATATTTACACTTTCGGACAATAATTTACAATGTGATTATTCGGTATTTTGATTAAACGCCGCTTATACCAAATAGCAAGCAAACAGACAAAACTAAAAAAAAAAAACGAAAAACCAGCTGAAACGCAGCGGTTCCTTTGGCATGGGCCCCCAAAACAAAAAACCAGATCGAAAAACCAATATAAAAAATTCGAAAACAACAGAAAAAATAAGAGAAAATAAAAGAAATCCCAACCGCTGCCCCAGACGTTGTGCAATTTTGTGGAGAAGATAATCCAAAAACCATTTGAAGATACGTTAATTTAATTACATACAACTTATGCAATCAGAGCTTATAGGATGTAAATTGGAAGATATATAGAGCAGGGCGACATCAATGAATACATACATATACCCGACCACTAACATAACCGATGGCGATGGCAGATCCGTAACACCCACTAAATTATATAGAGGCACAATTCCTGGCAGCTAACCCTTCCCTAGATTTCAATTGTATCCTTTTTGTACTTAGTTCGAATTCAGTTTTTAGCTAGCGGATACTTTTAAAGGCCCTGTTGTTAGAGGACCCGAAACATATCAGCCCAAGTCTGCTAAAGAATACCCATTGTAAACCCCAGAAAAAGTTTCCCAATCTGAGAGAGAGAGCCCAAACCCAAGCCAAATGTACACGAGCAATCATTGATTTAGCTGTTATTGTTTTTATCGTCTTAAGTTACCAATTTGTTCCTGTCGTTTATAAATATAATTTATTTTACTTCGTATGTACCATAATTTTCGAAGCGTGTAATTATTTCCTAAACTAGAGATCCATGTATTGCTGTACTTTATGCACAAGTTGTAAGTATGTAAGCTCGCGTAAATGTAGCGCCCTAAGCGTAGTGTAAATTAGTAAAACTGTATATACTTATAATAAAAGAATGATAATGAGACACATTAAACAAAAGCCACAATTATTGGTATAAATAAAAATATGATCTTTTTACTTTTTAGGATGGGAGAAAAAATGATTTAACTTTTCAGGTTTTAAACACAAACAATACTACAGTTTGCGAAACTTGCAGATTTTTTAAAGGAAAATCACAATCCTACTTTTCTTTACCCATCAAGATGTCTAGACTGATTTTTATGGAACAGCTTACCAGTACTTTTCAGTTTCTTTTTTTTTCGATTTTTAAATAAATCCATAATGAAAATAAACAAACCTCGACAAAAATTTGAAGTTTCCACTAAAAAATGTTTTTGATGAGGTTTGTGTTTGCTGCCAATCACTGCAATGTTCATAACTGAAAGAATATACCTTAGGGCCACAAAAAAAAAGTAATACTAAAAACTGCTAACAACAGCTAGAACAATTAACCGAAGAATACAAAACACACAAACAAAGAGGTGTTAATAAATTGGAACACAAATGAGAACCGAAATGAGTTCTTTTTATTTCCTTTCCCATAAGTTAAATACAGTCTTATTTTTATTGGTTAATCATAGACAGTCTCATGTGGTGATTTAAGGGCCTTCGATGGTGTACGATAATGCGAAAACAAAAACAATATTTTGCTATAAACGTGTTTTCCTGTGTCGCTGACCGGAAACGCATTCGCCGACATAAACAGAACAAGAGCAAAGTGAGCAGAAAACTTATGAATGGAGGTAACAAAAGGCGGCATATTCCAGAGGTGAGCCGAGTTGAGCTGACTGGAGTGGACTGAGCCAGGGGTTAATAAACCTTACAAGTTATTTATGGTCTTCCATTATCGACTATCGAAGCCCGATTTGCTGGAGCTCATCCGTGGTTAAGTAAGATTTGGCTTCGAGGGGAAGTGCAATTTCCTTAAAAGGTTGCAGATAAAATATTGTTAAATAAACATCTATTTATTAAGTGTAGATGGGATGAAATTCCATGAAATTAAACGTTTAAAAGTTCTAAATTAATAACCAAATACGTTTTTAGTAAAATAATCTTTTTTTATTACATAAATACATTAAATGATATATGTATGCAATCCCATCTGATAGAATTCTATTCCTATACATTTACTATCTACTTGTTAACTTATTTCTACAAAAAAATTGAATCCCTTTTTTTTCTTTACATTTTTATTTTAATATTTTATTTTTTATAACATACAATTGCTGATCAACCTGCTTCGAGTTATACAATCTTATTAATTTAGTTGTTGAACAAATATGAACCAAACCTATTTATGAGCACTGCATTCCGTTTTGGCTTGCAGTCAAAGTAAAAACCTTTGGCTCCCGTGAAGGCCGTTTTCTAAGATCCAACTCAATACGAGTAGCGTAATCTGGGCTATTGAATGGGGAAAAAACCAGTAGCACACAAAGGCGGCACCCGAATTTTAAGCTGACATCTGTTTTTATGGAGTAGATTATTAATTCACGCGTACAGCTCTTTGTTGCATTGTGGCAGCGGACAAAAGCCTGGCTCGAAAGTATCAAATCCATATTGTCAGCGCCGTTAAAACTCAATCGCCATTGGAAATTGGAACGGATTTCAGTTGTCAGCTTAAATCAATCGTGTATCTTCTTATAGTTTTTCAGAGGCGGAATGATTTAATTATTGTAGAGCGTTGAGCATAATTTCCATCACAAAAACAAACTTTCTTCCCCAACAAATTGTTTATTCTCAGCCAGCTTAGGGAAATTCCAATGTTATTGGTTGTGTCTCTTCATTTGGACCGCGCTTCTTTAATCGGTTTACAGCATTCTCAAAGTCCCGATCAATAGGTTGAGTATATATACCCACGTTTTTATTGAGAAACTGTCGACATTCGAAAAGTCACGGCCTTTATGCTTTGCCAGCTTAAGCGTGTTTTCTATTGTTCACCTAAATTTGTTTAAACTTACGCTGGTCATGGAGGTTACGACTATATAGAAAGATCTTATTTTGATGAAAAAAGTAGAACATAAAAGTAGTTGCATTAAAGGGGGTTCATAAATATTATTTGCAGAACTCTTATTAAAATTATAGGTGTCTGCCAGCTCTCACCTGAAATGTTAATATTTTTGAAACCTGACCGAAATCCACAATTATGCTAATTTCAGCAGACACACTTAACATAAGAACATGTGTTTCCAGCACTTAGCACATTGCCTTTTTACCTTTCTGCGATATCTGACTGCAGATTCTGGCGTTGATGTTGATAGCCGAGATCCGAGACCTGAGCTGGCAAACAAATAAAATGATAATAACATGTTATTATGCAGACAACGATCACACTGGATGGAACCTGAACCTAAAACAATGATGGGACCAAAAACCGAGTGCAGACGGTGTTGTTTTTCGGGCTTTTTCCAGTCGATAGGTGATGTGCAGCTTTCGCGAAGAAGGTAAAACCCACATTTCCGTACTTAACCATGTGGAACTGCGACTCAAAAACATGTCCAGGTCTCTCAGTCTCTCAAAAGACAGTTCATTGTTTTTCGAAATTAAATTTGCCAACATCTCCATTTCCATCTCCATCAAAGGTGGATTTGTGTGTTTGTGTTTTTTGGAAGAAAAGAAGAGTGATAAATAAATTAGCCAACCAAATTGTTCGAATAACTAATTTTAGGTCGAAAAAACAATTAGCCTGAAGTGCTGAGATGATTTATTCCTTCGTGGGCGCATAACTACAAAGTAGTTTTTATCAGGAAATCCCATTTGTTTTACACGAGGGGAACGAGTGTGTGTGTCACCTTTCTGCTGGATGGTAATTATAATGCACTCTTTCAACAATAATTTCGTTAATGCTGTCACAAATATTGTGACACGTGGCCGTATCCCAACACTTCAGCGGCCTCCCTTTGATTTGAACCGTATTTTTGCAGAAAATTAAGAGATCAAAGCGTTTCCTGACATATGCAAGTCCGCTCTTATTTACCTCAGATGCATTCACACATCTGTAGCTGCAGTGTAAAATATCTGGACAACTACGGGGATATAGGAGAGTGAAAAGTCATTTAAATATAAGGTAAACAAAGAGGCCGAAAAATAATTAAAAAACATAGAAAATTTTCTAGTGTAATTTATTTTAAATAATTAATGGATTTTTGAAATCGATTGATATTTAAACTAAATTAAAATCATCAAACAAAATTTCCCTGAGGATCATTTTTTCATTTGTGTAGAATATCTATTAATTTTTTGTAAATATATAAATTATATAATTGTACTTATAATAGTAAAAACCTTATGATAAAACAATTATTTACCAACAACATATTGTAAAAAATAATACAAACAAGTTGCAATCAAACTGTTGTGTGTTTTTTTTTTACTAACTAAAAAATTTGATTTTTTCCCACTGTAAGCAATCTGCAGCACTGCATTTTGTCAGGAATTTGACAAACAGCTCCCACAGTACCGCCTCCACGGGGAAGTGTAACTGGGATTCAGTGAGCAACTCCTCGGAGGAGGAGAAGGAGAAGGTGATCCGCAAGGAGGCCTGATCGCCTGATCGTCTGAACAACATGAGCTCTTGTTTACTCGCATGTGGGTGGAGTGCCTCGGTGGCTCAGTTGGCGGTGGTGCTGATGGTGATGGTGATCGTGGTGCTGATGGCACTCGTACTCGTACTGCCAGTGGTGCTAGCAACGAGTCCAGGCCAGGTTCATTCAACGACTGCCACATTTCAATGGCAAGCGAGATCGCTGTCGCAGATACCACAATTCGGATGTTCCTTATTGCATGTCGTGATTGCGTCAGCTTGTCTCCACCGCTTGGAGCTGCTCCTCCAAACCTCCAAGCCTCTAAAACCTCCAACCAATGCGAAAAATTAAGCGGCAACCAATCATTGTTGTGTACGAGAGTATAATGCCCCGACGAATGTTCAAATTGAAAAGTTGTAAATTATCGAGCACCACCATCGAGTTCGTTTCATCCCAATTAAATTTGAGTCCTATGTGGTGACAGCCCATCGTGACCCTTCTTCTGGTTGAGTTAGCACTTTGCATTTCATTTCCGTTTAGAAATGTCATTCACAATTGCACATTTTATAATTTCAAATGTTACTTTATAGTTCTAAGATCGCAATAATTAAATATAATAATATTCATATAAATATAATAATTGAGATTTAAATTAGATTCTTAAAATGATTCAGTATTTATATAAACATATTATATATTTTTATAGGTAAGTCTAAAGACTTTAATTCTTAATCTAATATCACCATAATACAAACGATTAAAATTACAAGTAAATAATAATTATTTTCCATACTATTTATTTCTAATATCTCGTTAAGCTAACTCAATTTCAGTGACTTTCTAATATATACAATTGTGCCGCTCTGCCAGTGTTAAATAATGAACTCTCGCTGATCGCTGTATACTTAAGTTAATTGAAAGACACCTCTTCTGGCCACAGCACGTTTGATTAGGCCATGTTCGGCGGAACACTTTGGAGGAGCACATGGACGCGATAGTTGGGATAGCAAATTGTTTAACGCTCGAATAAGTGGTACATGCGGCAACAAGTTCCTCATGGGGATTTGAGCTGTTGTCAGCGTGATCGCGCCACATGAACACGATGGTTCTGTTGATGTGGATGATCTTAATCAGTATCACCACAGAAGGCATCCTCCTTGGCCTCGCTAAGTGGATGCATACCCATACCTATACCAATATACCATACCCATATCATCGCATTGTCGTTCTCGGATCGGAGTTTTCTGTGGATATATTTTAGGAGGGGAATCAGGAGGGGGAACCGCAGATCCGGAGAGGTGTGCGTCAGATGCTTAATTTAAATTACCCGATTGGCGGGACGATCTGCGAGTCTGCGAGGAGCACAGCACAGCATGAGTAGCTGCGATTTGACACCTCGACTGACAGCTGGAATTGGGGAAAATTATTGAGCGCACTGGAACACAAGGGGCGCCCATTAGATGACTGGGCCGTAAAAAAACAGAGCGTCCCTGTGTGTTAAAGACCTGTGTCGAGGCACACAGTTGGAAATGGGTAGTTTTAGG